ATCGGCCGACTGATCAGTCGACCGACGGGCAAATTTTCAGCCATCAGTCGACTGACCAGTCGACTGACGAGCTGATTTTGTTTTCTCAGCTTCTCAGTCGACTGATCAGTCGACTGGCGAGCTGAGGTTGTGCTGCCTGAGCCTCATCAGTCGACATATGAGTCGACTGGCGTCATCAGTCGACACATCGGTCGACTGATGAGCTGTTTTACAGATTTTTGATCTGTTTGAGCTGTCTTTCGGGGTCGCCTCGATTATCTGACACTACATTGCAATAATAGTGACTTGTCTATACATGTGAGTTGACACTTTTAACACAAGTTTAGACCCGTACATCAAGACGCGTTCGAGTTTAGGATATGTATATCTTTCCACATATACCTTTGACAATTGCACCTCTTTACTTATAGTCCATGTGTTGGGCATATCTTACTGTTGATCCATGTGTTGGATACTTATCATTTCGGTCCATGTGTTGGACACGTATTTTATAGAAGTCCTCGTGTTGGACTGTGATTTATAGAAGTCCTCGTGTTGGACTGTGATTTATAGAAGTCCTCGTGTTGGACTGTGATTTATAGAAGTCCTCGTGTTGGACTGTGATTTATAGAAGTCCTCATGTTGGACTGTGATTTATAGAAGTCCTCCGTGTTGGACTGTGATTTATAGAAGTCCTAGTGTTGGACTATAAATTCATTCCAGACCTCGTGTTAGACATTTGACACCTATTTCATGAGTTTGGAAACTACGACATGATGTTGATAAGGCACTTATGTAAATAATAACATGTCTTCCATGTTAGCTTTGGTATGCCACTATATAATGTTCTGAGATTTGCTGTATTTCTTTTATTATTGTTTCTGTACTAGAACCTCGGGTTTGGTGTTTAGAGATTTACAATTTGAGATACAAGGTATATACATGAGGGTTTCCTTGTTTGGATTATTTCGCTCGACGTACCTATGCTCGTGTTGTAAATTTCTAAATACTAAAACCCTCTTTAGTAAGATAAATGATTTTAGATCTATTATACATATTATCTGTATTCTATTTTCTGTATACAACGAGCCCTTTCCCTTGGGGTTGGTTGTGATGTTGCTCGCTAGCGCTTTGACGCTCGTTGTCCCTCCCCCTTTCAGGTCACGAGCCAGGAGCACGGAGAGCCGCAGGTTGATAGCGGACCACATTAGTGTTCAGCTTTACTTTCTAGCTATGTATTATTTTCTTTGGGCTCCACTGTAGTGTGGTTAGACATTTGAGGGTATTATTCTAGAAGTTGTAAAGGCTGTGTGCCAAATTTCCTTTTGTCAGATATTATATTTGAGACTTGTTGAGTATTCCAGATTTTCTACTCAGATCTTGACTATGTACTTCTGTGTTGTTGGATGATGAGATATTTATGTGACTATTATCATTTCATCAGTATTCCTTGTATTATCTTTTACCTGTTTTTGTACCTACACCAGTTGTTGATTCTACTAGATGGATGTTAATTGTGATGGTGAAACATGTTATTGCACGGTGTGGTGCATAGCAGGTTTGACATTCTTGGTTTCACCTTGGACTGCAGCCTTGTGTGAACCCAGGGGCGTCACATTAATCCCCCCCAGCGCAGTCAATTGCGATATCTTAAACAAACACATTTCCAATGTGCCTTACCTGTGTTGCTTTATTCAGTTAAAACAGCTTCATTGTCAAGCTTTTATCTCTTAATCAATATGTGCCTTACCTGTGTTGCTTTATTCAGTTAAAACAGCTTCATTGTCAAGCTTTTATCTCTTAATCAATAAGCTGCTTTATCTGTGTCTTACCTGTGAACAGCTTCATTGTCAAGCTTTTATCTCTTAATCAATAAGCTGCTTTATCTGTGTCTTACCTGTGCTTAACATGTCTTTCTTCCCTAATTCTTTTTTGCAGGTTGAAATAGTTGCACAGTTCGGTGTAATATTTCTTCTTATTGCTTTGGGTCTGTAATTCTCTACAACAAAGGTTAACTATTTGTTTTTAAGCTATAATTTGATTGAAGTGGTAATTCTCTAAAATTTGATTGAAGTTTCTTTTCCTGTACTTAAATGCATGTGTTTTTTGATGCTTCTCTGGGACGAAGATGCGCCAGTGTGACTTCTTGCCAATTTGTATTGTTGTAAAGACACAATAAGTAACAAATCAGTCAAGCTATCTCAAATCACATTTAACAAGGAATAATTTTTATGTGAAACTAAATATGAATAATTGTACAGCCTTTTAGCTTTATAACATCTCATACAATTGAATGCAATTCTCAAAACAACCTCTGAAGATCAGGCCGCGAAGAGGAATAGAGGTTTTCCTGTATAATTTACTAAATATTTGCTCAATTTTCCACACAATTGACTGACTCCACTTCTTGAACTTTAACATTTTAACTTCTCTACCCCTAGAACCCACTCTTACATATTTATATATTTATATGGGTAGCATTTGTAAATAAAAAATTATATAAGTAATATTTCAATAAATTCAATTAATAGGACTACCAAATCGAACAGTTAATGAACTTTCGAACATATATTTGGTTAAATTCTATTAAAAAGTTATCGAATCGAATAGTTAATGAACTACCGAATCAAACATACATTTGGTTAAATTCTATTCATTTATAAGGCAAACACTGAAATTTATTTGTTTAGTACTAAATGAACTATTGAATCAAACTTGATCGAATATCTGAACGAATAAAAAAAAATAAATAGCACCCCTATACTTCATATCTAAAGTAGAATATTTTATTTTGGTAACATGTTCAATATTTGCAGAAAATCTTTTAGAAACTGTGCTTTGCACGGGTCTAAATACTAGTTGAGTTAATTGAGAACAGATTTCCAGTAATATCACCTAATTGCATGGAGACCTCATGTAGTTTTATTTTTGTGAAAAGACCCCATGTTGTTCTACTTTCTACAAATAGACCCCCCATAGTACTCGCCCAAGTTTGGATACCCCTATAGTGAACTTTTTCTACATTTTTAAATGTCAAAAATTAGCAATTGGGCGTTTATCCTTACCAATAGAACTATAATGAATCAATCCGCATCCTCTCTCATTTTTAACGATTTTAAGAGTAAAAAAGGAAAAAAAAATTTCACCATTGGGACTTCATTCACGACAAATAGAGCCATAGGGGGTCTATTTGCATCAAATAGAACTACATAAGTCTCTTTGCAATTGGGTGAAACTACAGAAGGTCTGTTCACAATTAACTGTATAAAAAGTTTCAAACTAAAGATTTGCATTTAAATTTTCATTATACCAACAAAATGACACATTGATAATTTCAGATTTTTGTAAGAATCATATACTTATCATAATTCCCAAAAATAAAATCGAGTCGAAAACTGGTTTATATTCTCCCACCACTGATCGCAGTAGTGGCGGGGGGGGG